CGCCAAAAAAAAAAAAAAAAAAAAAAAAAAAAAAAAAAAAAAAGGGCGAAAAAAAAAAAAAAAAAAAAAACAGCAACAACAAAAAAGAGTGAAGATGATACGGAAGAAGGCATATCAATCAGAGTACGAGTTATCTACCCTTCCGGGAAACATCGTGTCCGGTGCATCGTGCCCGATATGCGTGCTGACAATAACAAAGCGAGACTTTCGCTCGAGCGTTGCTGCACGCCAATCGACGAATAATGCATTCCTAATCGAATATCGTTCTCCTTTCTTCAGGGGAAAGTGGAAGAGAAGTGGAGAACAAACTTGATAGTAGCGTAGATTTATCGTGATTGATATCTCTTGTGTTATGACTGTATAATAATTGCAAAACGGTAAATGACAAATTTTAAGAATTAATATATAACAAATTCTATGATATATGTAGAAGGCAAGAAAAATAAGAGGACCTCACATCCATCATCCTCTCGATTATTATTAGACATTAGGCGTTGGTTAATAATAGCGCCTAAAGTATCAAGACCTGGTAGATTATGCGTAGCTTGGGACTTCTTTTACCTTTCCAATATCCAAGCCTTCACGTTCGGATATAGATCCATATTTTATTTATCACAGACTGGAGAAAACATTCGAGGAAATCGCTCGATCGTACGATTGTGATATCTGCTTGAAAAATTGAATAACTTACGGAGTCGCGCTAGTTAAGCAACTATAAGCGATAAAAACGTTAAAATTAAGGTATACGCATCTTTTACATAGCTATAATTTTTCATCGGGCACGCAAGAAGCACTTTTCGAGTACCATTGGTTACGGTGAAAAATTAAAAATAATGCGCGTCTTCTTTACCGAACCGTATAGATTCAATTTGAAAAAGGATTAAAAAGAAGATTGGCGTAAAATTGCTTCGAACCTTCTGCTAGTTATAAGTATATATACATACGTGTATAAAACTATGAATGAGCGGTTCGCAGTTGGACCATTACGGGGCAAAAATGTGCAGTTAGCCAACTTTATTAGGCGCCATAAAAGGTACATAGGATGCTCAAGAACTTTCTGCTGGTATCACATAATGTTCCTGCGCGTACATGCGCGCGGAAAGGCGAATCGCATTAACCTCCTTTCGCGCGACTTAATCGGCCGCTCCGATGGACGCTTTTGTCTACAGCAGCAGCAGCAACAGCAGCAGCATCGATAGGAAATCAAGCCGCATAAACGCGTGACGCCAATGTTTTCTCTCTCTCTCTCTCTCTCTTTCTCTCTGTTTGTTTGAAAATTCAACGACGGTCGAATTTTGTCTACGCGAGTCGTGATTAAAATAAATAAAAGAGAAATTTCGAAAATCGCTTCTAGGTTCTGGACAGTAGAAGAATTATGCACCATTGTCTCACACGCGTTTCCCAGCAGCGAAGAGAACTTAGCTGATCAGATAAGATGACAATGGGATGAGAAAAACCAGATACATACTTATTCGTAATTGTTTACTCGCATGATAGAAATGCACAAATTCGGGTAAGTAAATGCAACCAATAGAATACGCTTGTTTAATTGCTTACTGAAAAATAAAAGTTCGTTCGAACAAATGCAGTCCGTAGCAAACGGAGTTCTATCGCAGCAAGAATCGAGTATCTCCGTGTAATCTGTTAGGCCTTAGTCCGATTTCTACAACGTAATACAATACATATCGATATGAACATAAGAAACTCTGATATCACGTCCCTTTTCATTGCTTCCACTGCGACGCCCCTTCTTTATTGTTGTTGTCATATATACAGCACAGAAGAAAAATCAATTAACAACGATTCTATATATCATCTATATCATCGATTTCTATTTTTGTATATATATATATTAAATAATGGACAAACACAAGTCTATGTTTCGTTTTAATTTTCAATCGTTTTCTATTCTAAATTTTCCCTCATTTTTCCGACATTTCTGCGTTGCAGCTACGAAAATTTCGTTCAAATAATATTCCATTCAAGAACGTAAAGAACAAATAAAAAAGTGACAGTCGCTGCCGCTCATGAGTATTATTCTTGAAAGATTGATAATCCGTTCGATAAATCATTTGATAATGATTTCTACCATTCGTTGGAAGATACCAGTTTTCGATCTGGGTTCGATTTACATCCTCGTTATGTCATATGACCATTAAAGCTATTACTAAAACAAGTATTAAAACTAATCTTTCCCGCTTCTTTCTGGAATAAAACGTTTTGTTTTCACGTGAAAATTTCAGAAAATAAAATATAAAAATACGCAATAACTAACAAGAAATAAATAGTAAAAATATATGACACGTTTGAATATACAGAGTGTAATGTATAAAATATTATATTTATGGAAACGTATATTAAATATATTTAAGTGGATCTATAAATCCATTATGATAATTTAGGAAGCTAAATGATGCTAAATGTAAGTATTTATAGAAAAGTACATACTTGCGTCACGCTACGATGACTTAAGAAATTATGCTCACTTCAACTACTTACTATAATGAAATATCGTACTGTATTGTCGATGGGGCTGTAGGCAATCTACACTGCTATTCACGAGCAAAATTCGAGTGTTCTTCACATGTAAATTTCATGCAAAGTCCATTAGGCTATGTGCAATTTGGTAGAATAAAAGTTACAAAATATGTTCCAGAGAAATGTACAAAAGTACTTAAATAAATTATTTAACTGAACGAGGAACAGAGAGTAACATAATTAAGTATCTTGTAATTTTTATAATTAAATACATGTATATAATATTAAATAGCTTGTAATTTTTATAAATAAAAATAAATGGCTATAATTTATAAATGTTGTAAAAATAGTAGGAAAATTGTTTCTCGATAGTCCATAAAATGGATAAAAATATATCGGGAAGCGCATCATCAACGCACTTATATACCTGTTGCATTATTCTTGCTACAGTACTGATCATATATCAGATCATCTCGTCTGTGGTATAATAATGCATAATTTCAAGGGTATCGCGGATTCGTGACATAAAATAATCTTATAAACGACGATAGGTCAATGTTACGCAATGTTTCACTAGTCACAGTGTAAAAAACAATCGATACATTAAAATCATGTAATGGTTGATAAAATATAAATTATAGGAAAGACAATATATTTTAAAAGAACGACACTTTCATAAACTAAAAATGCTTCAGTAATTCATAAAAGTATCTATTTAGGAAAGTGCCTTTCTTTTTATAATTTTTTAAACGCGTTAGCAGCGAAAAAAAATTCATTATGTGAAATACCTCTGGTCAATCGTACAACCTGCCGCATCTATCGTCCGACCATGCAACTATGATTATTTGAAAACTTCATTCTTGCGACATCTAACAGTGAAGCACCGAACTAGGTAATTCCGCGATGAGAACAGATGTCATTTTCATTTCTAATAGTGGTCCAAATAGATTTTTAATTATCGATTTAAAAATGCTTGTCTCTGGGTGAATCCCGCAATTTATAAAATCATTTATAAATCCGAATCATTTTATTTATCATTTTCAACGAAATGAAAAGTCTGTTTGATCGAGGATGACGTTCTTTGTTTCTGCTCGTTCGATAATCGATGAGAATGAATATATTTTGCAATTGAGAGGCCCAAAACACGCGTCGAATCGAATCGAATTATCGATTTAAAAACTCCACTATCTGCATCTCTTTATACAATGTAAAGAAAAATTCTCCTGTCGATAATCAAACAAAATTATATAACAAGGATCTGCGACGAATGTTAAGTTATTTATACGAAGATTATACAAAGAAACAGTTAATCACGAGTATTCATTCACGCGCCCTCGCTCTTGGGACAAAATATAAGAGGAATAGTTTCGTGAGTCGGTGGTCATTCAGTTTTTAGTCGCGGTTCAACCACGTCGCTGACAACATGTATCGGTTTATGTTATTCGACTAACCGAGTGGTGCTTGTTGAAACTTGACGAAAATGTCATCCTGAAAGAGAGCTTGCCCAAAGTGAACCGTTTTGCAATTCACACGTGACATTTATTCATTGTTCAGCTTGTAATTGTCATTGAAAAGTGACTGGCTATCGCCCAAATAAAACTAAAATTCATAGCAGCACTTTTGTGGATTACTTTTAGGAGAATAAAAAAAATGGCTTGCCCCTTATCAGACGATATTGTGTAAGTAATCTTTTAAAAATCCTTACGCGTCGAAAATTTGTGTAATTCCCCGATCAAGCGACGAAATGCCTCGCTTCTCTTGAAATTATCTTCTATTTTATCTTATTTATTCTCTCATTTGAAGAATAAACAACTGAATGATCAAAATTAATTATTGCATCGAATGAGCATGCGTTTTGAATTATATAAGAATCAACATAGTAAAAATGAGATGAATTTGACAGAAAGTGCTGATTCAATTGCTTGTTTTTAGGGAAGATCATGATCAAGAAACTGATCAATTGGCCGAAGGGCCGGGTATGCTTTATGGTGAATATCTTCGATTGGATAAAATTTTAACCGCACAAAGGTTGCTGAGCGCCGAGTACAACAAGGAAGTACACGACGAACATCTCTTTATCGTCACTCATCAGGGTAAAAGATTTAATCGCTGCAACGTTCGTAACAAATATAAACTATATTGCGCAACGGTGGTTAAACTTCGTCTATTTGTTTCCTATCCTTCCACTGATAAAACATGTCTAGCATTAGATTTTGATACGTTATCCATACTATTGAGAATTATTTAAAATATCATGCCATGTCATTTTTAGTTAATATCGCCATTTTTTTTTTTTTTTTTTTTTTTTTTACTTTTCAAGATATATCTTTTACTTTTTTTACTTTTCAAGAGTATTTTTTATCTTGCAAAAAAGGCCATGAGTAAAGAGCAACGATATAAAAGAAAAGAAAATAATGGAAACTTCAGTTCTCTTTGGTTTCGAATAATAATAAATAATACATTTCAATCAGAGAGCGAGAGAGCAGTATACAAAATTTAATTTAAGAAAAAGGAATGTCTACAAGGAAAACTATAGTTTTTTTACCATTTGGTCCACAGCATACGAACTTTGGTTCAAACAAATCATCTACGAATTAGACTCAGTCAGAGGTCTTTTCAACTCCGAACCAAGCGACTATGATTTGAATGGTACCACCAACAATCACACTGCTGTTCCGAAGTCTCGGATCTCCCAAGTTCTAGACGAATCAAGGACCTTGGAAATCTTGAAAAGATTAAATCGTATTGTACTTATATTGAAAGTAAGCGATGCTTTAAGATAATCGTATCTCACGTATATTACGATGAAAATGATTGAACAATGCACGATGAAAAATTGTTTAAAGAACGAAAAAAAAGAGTAACGGTATAGATTTCCCGCGCAATGCGAACGCATCGTCAGGTAATCCTATATACTCGAGGAAAAGAAGGCCAGTGGCCATATGTTGACAATGACAGTGATGGGAAGAATGTGAACGACCCTTAATCGCAAGCCAATTAGAGCATTGAAATTTATGACAAGGGTGCTTCGACGGTACACCGCGGTGTTTCTAATCACATTTCAATTGTCACCCTTCGAGTCGACTGGCGTACGTTCCACTTTACAAATCGCAAATAAAAATTACTTAAACTTCTTTATTAAAAACATTTAAGACACGATAATATCTACAGGAACGAACGTATCGTCTTACTCTCAAGTAATCAAATAACAAAAACTATAACACTCGTCGCATAAAGAGAGACTTAATTAATCAAGAGAAGAATGAGAAATTAAGTCTGACTTACACTTGTAAAATTCGTTCCCTGTAAACTGATAGTTTCCTTTTTTTAATAACAGCCGTCTGTTTTGAAAAACATACTATGCACTTCACGATTGTCGTGTAATCAAAATTATTTTCACGTGAATTTGTCAAACTGGTCAAGGTTCTTAGCAATACGACACTTTCTCATTGCTTTTCTCCTACTCTTTCATGCTGGAATAAGAAAGATTGTGGGAACTGCAGAAATAACAGTAAGTTAACACCGCTAGATGATATGCGACACTCCACACCACATGCATAGATGAGTTAGGTAACAAGCTCATTGGCGCTCTTTCTATACCACAGAATGCAGGTGTGGTCACCGCGTTTTCTTCTCTACTTCTATTGAAAAATCATGTAGCAGGGTTAAGTAAGTAGGATTTAATACGAGATACAACCGTGTCCTTCCACGACCGTCATTCAAAATGATATTTCTATCTGAAACTATAATGAAACTAACAATACGACCATGTTCGATGGTATTGATTTTTTTTTTTTTTTACTTTCTTTTTATATCTCTTTTTTTTCAACTTGATTATCAAAATAACCATAGAGAAAATTGTTTTTACCATATTGCACACGTTAATGATTACTTCTTTTTTGTACAGTAAAAGTAAGCGTGGCACCCATATAAATGCAAACGCGGTTGTCTTAGACGTAGCCACAGTAAGATCGATTCAACGTCAACAAAGACAATAACAGACCATAAGGGTCAATCTGTACGCAGTATTGAAAAATTCACGTATCGTATAAAAGACGATATTTTTTATTGAAAAATTTTTGATTCTAGCTACTAGTGGACCAGGTGACAATTTTGGAAACCATGACGCCGCTGGATTTTATGACATTTAGAGACTATCTGTGTCCAGCCTCTGGCTTCCAATCGCTACAGTTTCGTCTATTGGAGAATAAATTGGGCGTGAAACAGGATCATAGAGTCAAATATAGTCAAAGTTACACAAGAATATTCGGAAGGGATCCAAAAGCTATCGAGGCAATTAAACGTTCAGAAGATGAACCTAGTCTCAGTTATCTTGTTCAAAAATGGTTAGCGCGAACACCAGGCCTGGAACCTTATGACTTTGATTTCTGGGGGAAATACAAAAGATCCGTCGAGAAATTGCTCGTTGAACAGGAGCAACTTGCTCGAGTAATCATTTGTTCTACTTGCGCAAATAGTTTTGCGTTAAAGAAGTTTTAATGCTCTTCATTGTTTTCACAGACACATACGAAAGAACAGCTCAGAAATTATCATTTGGCAAATATAGATTCTCGGAAAGCAATATTCGAGACAATATTCAATGAATCTCTTCACAATGCGCTCGTATCTCGTGGAGAAAGAAAATTCGCATACGGCGCTCTTCAAGGTGCAGTGATGATCACACTGTACCGCGACGAACCAAGATTTAGCCAACCTCATCAAATTTTGACCGCATTAATGGACATTGATTCTCTAATTACTAAGTGGAGGTGTAAGAAGCTATATTTATTTATTTGATTTAAGTACTTTGTAATAAATAAAATACTTGCATTTCTATTTTACCCGCTAGATAATCATGTTTTAATGGTTCAAAGAATGATTGGTTCTCAACAACTCGGAACTGGAGGATCTTCGGGATATCAATATTTAAAATCTACTTTAAAGTCAGTATAGCCTCTGTATTTGTTTATATCTATGAAAATTATTTTTAAAAACACGTGTCACTGATAATTTATATCTTTTGTTCATAGCGATAGGTACAAGGTATTTTTAGATTTATTCAACTTGTCAACATTTCTGATACCTCGCCATATGATTCCGCCATTGACAAAACAGATGAAGACAAAATTATCCATTGCTTGCAACGGATGGAATCCTGATGATAATCAAAACAATTCTGAATGTACAGTGAACGATACGTAGGAGATGGCCTGATAATGCCGTAACTTTTAGGATACAAGAGTATAGATAAACCAATAGATAATATCGAATACATAAATGTAGAAATAACAATATAAATCTTTATTTTATTTTATATTAGAATATTTGTAAAAATATACAAATGGCTGCATAATACTAGCATAAAAATTCTGTCAATTGTCGAATATACGTGTAAAAGATGTTATTGTTATTAATATTATTTTCACGAATATTATTGTTATTAATATTATTGTCACGAATATTATTGTTATTAATATTATTGTATGTATTTTCAAAGTACCTCGATTAAAAAGATACTTTTATGTACATTTTAGGATCAATATAAATATTTTCTTCAAATATTTTCGTTTATATCGATAGATTGCTTCAAAGAACATTTAGTGACGATACTTGATTCGCTATGCCTGTTATAAAAAAATGTTCGATATAAAATTGATGAATCTGATATGTAAATGATACAAGATAAATCCATACCGCATAAATTACTGCCTATTCCTATGTACATGTAGCCTTTATCTCCGAAATTTGTTCCCCATGAATTTTTTATGATATAATGTGGTATGGCAGCTGATTTGTCGTATCCTATTATTTGTACAGCATGATTCAGATTATCAAAGGAACCATCACAGTGATATTGTATTACGCCGCCTAAATAGTTTTGCCAGGATAAAGCATTTACTGCAGCCGCCACTGGTCCATGAGTGGCCAATGTTATCAGCAGCTCATCCTCTGCATCTACGAAACTAAAGTCCGTTAAACCTTTAATCTTCTTAACGGCAAATACTGTGGACGAATATTATTCACTGTAAATGACAGCTATTTACAAGTAAACGAATTTTAATTGACTAAAAAATTGATTTTTTAAATGACTTTTCATTCGATTAGATTCTAAAGAAAATATAATCCTTGGCTCTATAGCATCATGCATATTACATTAACCGGTTAGCTTATGTAAGAAAACCTTTACATAGTTAATTACACACAAAGCAGCACGCACCGATACGATAATACGCTAGAGTTCTCGTTCTTTTACCAATTGTATGTCTGATACTTCAACAAAATCCTTCATTTAAAACTATTAACTATTATCATTATTACGCATAATGCAATGTTTCTTACCTGTCACATGTAAAATCTCGTATTTTTATACCAGGTGTTTTATCTATCGTTCTATGAAAATAATATTTTAAAATTAATCGTTATCCGTATTCCATATTCCGTTCGATTATTTCTGTTCATACTTACTTCCCAAGTTTACACGTACCAGTCTTTCCTACGAGTGGATAAGTAAACTCTTGAAATATTTGAACTTTGGACGCTAACAACCACGAAAGCAAGCTACATATATCCCCACCCTCGCAGCCAAAATTACTGTTTTTCGCACAGTCAATCATCTATCGAAAAAGTTGAAGATAGATAGAATTTCGTATCTGTTCCGGCTAAATCTTAAAAAACATATTAAATCTCATACTTCTTGTACGCTCAGCGTATACAAAGTGCCATTTTTTATTGCATACATCGATTCAACAACTTCAACGGTACTGAAAGCCCAACAAGCACCACAAGATCCTTGACTCCGTACCGGAGTAATCACTCCTTTGTCTCTCCAATCGAATTTTGAAGGTATGCCAACCGATCTTTTCATCCGATTAGTAGATTGCAACAAATGATGTTCGCGATGATAAGGTGCAGTCACGTGTTTCTCTCCTGATAAATTATTTATTTATATTAATAATAAATATTCAAACTGCTTGCCGTAAACCAAATTCCCACCTCTTGCTGGTAAGTCAGACAAAAGAGTTAGCGTCAGAAATTCATCTTCCGACATATCAGAAAATTCAGTGAGTCCATAATAAGCGCTTTCTTGTAATGATCGAAGACCATTCATTTTTTCTATGTGCCGCAACGATCTCTGTAATAAGAACATAGTTATCTTCATTTATTCAATACTATGAAAAATTAATTGACTAATTTTTTATTTTAGAAATAATTTAATGTTTTTTTTTTACTTTATTATGTACACGCGTTTTATCAAATTGTTTACTTGATAACAACTTTTAAATTTTATAATTGATTATCAATTCTACGAACATTTAATATTATCAAGATGATGCGATAACTTTTATCTAAATGAATGTTGTAATCCTAAAAATTTGTAGGAAATAGATAACAATAATAGAAATATAAAAATAAAATAGAAACATAAAAAGAAAATAAAAAAATAAAATAGAATAGATAAAAATTTTAAAAAAAAAGACACGCGATGATGCAAAGAAGAACGCGGGAAATTTTCGAAAGTGAGATGTTCGATATAAATGAGTATCATGTGAATTGTTTATTTTCACGATCCATTTTCTTCTGCGGCTTACCTGAAATCGTTTAAATCGTTCTTCATACTCTGATGGATCGGTTCTGTAAGATTTGTTATAACGTGCGACATAATTCTGAAAAAGCTTAATATCCTCGTTGCTAGTATCAGGATCCACTTTAATTGGTATTGCCAAAAAGCATAAACTCACTACCAACACTATAAACGCAACTGTTCTCCACTCCATGTCGAGGATAAAACATAATTCCAAAGCAATACACTGCACGACAAACCAACAAAACCTATACACAAGTATATCATTATTGCATGACTCAATAGAATATACTTATATACATAATGTTCATATAAACGTATATTACGGTATGCATGTGTGTTTTGATAGCACCAGGGCCGTAAGAAGTAAATCTAATTAGTACGTATTGTAATGGTGGTCAATATCTTCATATCTTTCCAAGTAAAAAAAAGTTACAGTAGATACAAATGCAGTACATACAATATTATTAGTCCAGAATTTACCTTCTTATTAAACTTAAATTATTTCTGTAATAAATTCTTTTATAGTTAACATTAAACAGTATCTGCTTTTTTACATGCCAAAAAACTAATATATTAGGAGTAATTATTATCGAACTTGCATATCTATTTTAAAATAATTATTTAAAAAAATATATTTACTTATTCTGTGTATATACATACATATATCTATGTAAAAGTATGTTAAAACTATCTAGTGTTTTTCTTAACCTTTAAATCCATGAAACTAGTAATAATCTTAAATTGCTCTGAATTGTATTTCTTTTTATTACAAAAATTATATCAACATTTTTCCTGAAGAAATAATACATATTATTTAAGTAATTTTTCTTATTAAAAAAATATTAATTTAACACTCGTATGACACTCTGTGTAGGTGTGTCATTTCCGTTTCTGGTTGTTCCTTTTAGATTTTCAATTCCTTTTGAGTTGACAGCATAAAACATGGATAACCGTTCAATTTCGAAGAAAAGAAAGGTTTGTGGATTTTCATAATTTATAACGCAAAAATATGATGTTTACTATGATAATTAAAGTTATATAAAAAATATTTTATGATAAAGCAAACAGAAATAACACATAAAAGCTATGGATGACATGGATACTTACAGATGTTTTTACTTCAGATGTAGTATACATTTTATACTATGAATATTTTACATATTTTACTTCCACAGATATCAAGATAATTTACATGCATTGTCAAACTAATCAAAATATGTTGGTTAAAATTCGAGTTTACATTTAATTAAGTTACGTTTATGTTAACGGATGTACTTTTAGATTAATTACTTTTGATATTTTTAGGTTAACTTATAACCATTTAAGATTATATATATATCATATAATATTCTTTTTCCAGTTTGTTGGAGACGGAGTCTTCAAAGCTGAATTAAACGAGTTTTTAACTCGTGAACTCTCTGAAGATGGATATTCTGGAGTAGAAGTACGTGTTACTCCCCATCGTACGGAGATTATATTGTTGGCAACTCATACACAGAGTGTTCTTGGTGAAAAAGGTCGTAGAATCCGGGAACTGACTTCTGTTGTACAAAAACGTTTTAATTTCAAAGAAACCCAAAATATTGAATTGTATGCTGAAAAAGTTGCAACTCGTGGTCTCTGCGCTATTGCTCAAGCCGAGTCCCTACGTTTCAAATTAATTGGGGGTCTAGCTGTTAGAAGGTTAGTTTAAACATTTATATAAATTATATAAAATCTTACATAAATTTTAATAGTTATATACAATAACAGGGCTTGTTATGGAGTTCTCCGTTTCATCATGGAATCAGGAGCAAAGGGTTGTGAAGTGGTTGTTAGTGGTAAATTACGTGGACAAAGAGCAAAATCAATGAAATTTGTTGATGGATTAATGATCCACTCTGGAGAACCAACCAATGAATATGTCAATACTGCCACTCGTCATGTACTCCTTCGACAAGGTATATTCATCAGAAAGTTAATCAAAAAGATAGATTTTAATTTAATTGAGGTTAATTGTAATTTAATTTATCATTTTGTGTTAGGTGTACTTGGTATCAAAGTAAAAATTATGCTCCCATATGATCCTCATGGCAAAACAGGTCCCAAAAAGCCTCTTCCAGATTCTGTTTCAATTGTTGAACCAAAGGATGAGATATTTCCTTCACAACCAACATCTGAAGTGAAAGCATCGAAGGATTTACCACAACCTATGCCACTCGCAGTGTAATTTATATATAAATGAAAATAAACTTTTAAAAGAAATTTTATTTAATTTTTTTAATTTAATAACAATAACATAAAGAAATAAATATATAGAGATACATTCTCTTTCATAATCATAACAAAAAATATTTGTTTCTATATATTTATTTATGAAAATTTACATTTGAATTTAAACTTAATTCAATATTTAATATAATTTGTGAATAACATTCATTTACAATAGAATTATGTTAAAATATTTTTTGAGACAATCAACTATGACTAAGACAATTAAATACTGTCTCACCAGAATATCCATAGAATAACCCATATCTATATCAAATTCAATTATTTATAGAAAAATTACTTATTTAACATGCTTTCAACCTTCCCCGAAAAATATAAGTTATATCAATACAAACAATAACGAAATATACTTTTAAAAAATATGAAAATATGGTGAAATATAATGCATTATGTTATAACATATAAAATGTTCTATTTTTAATGATTCATAATTTCAGTGAATCTTAAAAAAGTACATTTATATACGAAAAAATTAAAATGATACATAACACAAAATGATTTACAAAGATAAAAATATTTGTTCCAAAAAAGGAAGGGTTGAAAATTGATACAATGAACATTTTATACATTACAACTTAATACATTAGTCAACTTTTTCATAATTATCACTATCAATTACAGTGCAAATTTGACTTATTGTTTATTAACTGAATAGTGAAATTTTTTAAACTGAAAAATATAACATATTCACTGTAGCAAACATTGTACTATGGACTCATTTAAATTCTATGTGATTTAGAATTACATAGTTATAATCTTATTACAGATTGACATTATATATCATAAAATATTAAAAGTTCAATTGCGTAATTTATTTATATGAATATTTTGGTGTTTAGTAAATAAATTCTAGATTTAATTTCATAATAAAATAATATGAAACAGTTTGGAAAAAAGTTATTATCATCTATGATATCAAAAAATGAGCACAAATATCAATTAAAGTTTTAAATTATTACTTGATAATTCTTATATTTATCTTAAATAATAGATCATAAGTTTATTGTTTTTTACCTTTGCACTCATTTTATCATCCAATTATATGAAATTATTATTACATGGACCCTAGAACCCTAGGAAATTTTTGATAATTTAATACATCTTTAATACATATTTAAAATAAAAATTACTGACGAACAGGAGCCATTTGTTGTGTAAGTGATAGTAGACCTTCAATTATTTGTCGCACAATAACTGGCATTGTTGGTTTCCTTGAGACTGAACTTAGTCCATTTCTGATTTCATAGAACACATTACGAGTGAAAGGATTTCTTTGGGATGCAAGACGGAATTTTAAGAATTGGAAATAAATAAAAGGTGTTAATAAACCAGCACGACCCCTGTAAAAAATTACTTTTGTAAATTACTTGTACAATATCTAGTTTCTGAAAATTAATAAATTATACATACGTAAATACAAGAAGAACTGTGAATGGCAAGATAATTATCTCAGATAATGCACAAACTCGTAAAATATTTCGTGATTGAAATTCAACCAACGATATTAAAAGCCGTGCTCCCCACCAGCTGTTTTGTCCTAAACACTTAATTTAAAAAACAAAAACAAAATAATAACCAGTTATTATAACGATGACTGTGCATCATTAAGTTACACTAGAATGGTATGACTCAGCAATGTAAAATAAAACTGTCTTACTTACATCAAGTAATACGAGAGAACCAGAGGCAAAATGTATTAATGCAAATAAAAATATAGGAGTTAACACCACTAATTAATCATTTAAGAAAAATAATTCTATGTAACATTCCATGACAAATTTGCCTAAATAAAGAAGTATTTTATTTCTATTTGAGTTTTATATTATTATACAAAAGGATACATGTGACAGGAGCTGCATAAAGGAATATTAAAGAATAAAATAAATAATGGCAAGAATCTTCAATAAATAAATGTTCCAAAAATTGCCTATTTAATTGAACATGTGGTACTCTTTGATGAAGGCGTAATGCACTAGTTGCTGCATTACTTATTAATACTTTGTAATAAATATTATAAGAATTACTGTAATATAAAACATAAAATTTAATTTTTTAATTTAAATGACAAAATAATTTGCATCAACATACCCAAATATTGGAATGATATAACCAATAGTAAATATAATAGTAAAAAGTCTTGTAACCCATAATCCAACTTTAATCTTATTATCAATAATGTGTTGCCTCAAAGCGAACCAGCCCTTTTCCATGTGTACAGAATTATCGCCTGGTGTTGTACTTGTATCTGCCATCCTGTTTGTTAAATAAAATTCAAATACTACAATTCCTAATTTTAAAAATATTTATATAAAATTTGTATAAAATACCTTCTTTTCATATTCTTATCATATTTAAAACAATTATTCAAAAACTTTTTTAAAAATATGGCAAAAATGTAAATTGCGTGCTATTTTCTAAAGTGAAAGTATCTAATTTAAATGAAATATTAAGTACACAATACCTTATAAATATGGTAACAATTTATCAATTTTACTGCTACTAAGGAAAACTCTGAACTTCGTAAAGTTCGAACAATAGCTAAGACTTTTAGAAAATATTTAACCTAATTTTTTATTATACGAAAATCTTATTTACAAATTACGTTAAATAAATGAATTATTTTACAATTTTATAATCGTTTCAATACTACTTACTTTATATGACGATAGGTTAAATGCTTCTCTATTAAATGAAAAAATTTCAATTCCTTGTAACACTCGCATAAACTTAAATTGCAATGAGTATAACGTTGTGCATCTACATACGTATGTAAATTCAATCTCTATATATAATATTTTCCCCAGGTATCTTAATAATTATCCTGAGTTTCGTGTTTCAGATTTCTAATTTCTCTGATAGATGGTGTGGGCGATATGTTATGTGTCGTACTCTAACGGCATTTTATTGAATTACTAAAAACAACTGTCTAAAGAAACAGAATACATTATCTAAGCGGTGTTTTTACTTAAATATCCTTTCGTAGAAACAAATACTTCTTCAACAATGCATTCATTGTATACATTACATCTAACGTAAATATTCATTCTTGTATTTTTATATTACTTAAGCCATTACTGATTAGTCATTAGTCATACATATTTTGTAACTACATATATGTATTTATATGTCGTGTAGTATCACCGAGTACATAAAGTGTACGAGTATATTCATATATTTTGTCTATAGTAGTAATTGAGTTCTAATAATTAAAAAAAATTATTACAATTATATGATTTATACAAATTTTTATTGACAAAAATGTATTATATAAGTTCAAGAATATTTATAAGAGTTAAAAGTTTAAGAAATATTTTAGTTAAAAATGAATATTCTTTAACATATACCTTTTACGTATTTACTAATCTGACATTCATACAATGAATTCCACACATTTAAACATTCTAGCGTGTTACGTCTCTACCAAAGGTTAATTTTAAAAGATGATAAAAATTTATCTATATTACAACTGTCCATCATGTTGGTAATTTTATTTAAATAAAATTTTATTTCTAATTTATTTTATTTAAATTAAGTAAAATTGGTAATTACGTGAATATAGATATGTAAATTTAGATATTCTAAGTGTCTGACTAATAATACGAAGCAGAAGACGTAAATAAATAAAAAGCACATGATCGATGCATGAACAGGACAGGACCGATTATGGATTCCAAATCCCTGCGAATTATAGTATAAGATATTTTTATAAATAATAATTTGTGTTTCACTTTCATTACAATATAAACATACATAGATAATGGAATAAATAAAATAAAACAAATTATTCAGTTTCAAAGAACGTCCAAATATTTTTAAGAAACTATAGAATAGCGATACTAGGTCGGCCCTGATGGTCTGCAAGTGACATTTATTGATGTCAATGTAAGTTGTAGCAAGCACGTAAACATTTTCTTTATGTTACTACCCCCTCCCATTGAATAGATTACAATTTCAATGCAATAAGAATTACATTTGTAATTTTAAATATATACAATACTATAATTTATGGATTAATGCTTAAGTTAAGTTTCTTTAACACGTCGATGGCCACAATAATTAATATCCGATATTTCTGTCAATCATAAATTTTTAAAATGATTAAAATAAGATGAATACATCGACAAAAAAGATTTAAAATAATATAATCAGATAATACTACAAAATGAAAAATACTTTTTCATTGTAAATTTCATAAAAATTAAATATTTCAATACATAAACAAAGTATAAATTTTACAGGGCAGTGTGTTAACATAGTTTTTTGAAAAAATATTTTGTTATATAATACATTCATTACAGACCTTTTTAAATTTAGAAATATAAAGTAGCAAGAAAACGAACTTTGAATGCAAAAGAAATATAAAAAACATACATAGATTGCAAAAAAATATAAAAAAGGTATAAAAGTGAATGGTGGGAACAGAGGCAGGAGAGATAGGAAGTCCAAGCAAAGGAATGCAGGTTTGATTGGTCATTTCTAATAGATCCAATACAATCATAAAGATAAAAATATATAATTGGCCGAAAATGCAATCATATAATAGTGTGACTGCAAGTAGAAGAAGGAATACTTCTGGTGCCCTTGCTTTGTCCCGTTAGACTTCTTATCTCTGCAATATATATACCGCACGTATTTTACTTAACTCAGTTCTTTACACGCATTGGTACTTTAATGTGACGATTGATCTGTGATTTTGAAAATTATAAAACAAATTGAAATTTTTTTTATATTGCAAAAAGTACATTTAGAAAAATGCTGCTCATCGGCATGATCTGCGCTATAGTTGCAAGTGGCTTTATGTATCATAATTTACGAAGAAATTGGCCCATCTTTGTCCTAGATATGAAATATAATTTATTAGCTATTAAAGAAGTCCTAAATGATTTAAGGAGTTCCAAGAAAAATAAAAATAGTAAGTATTAAATGTTTTATACGTTTTTAAGTCTTTCTTTAAATTTCTATATTGAAATTTAAAATATGCAATTAGTATACGATTTCTCTTCTTTTTTTGTAACGAACTCTTTTTATAAAAAAAAATTCACTATTGATAAAAATTATAATAATTACTTAACATTTTCCAATGGATAGACATTTTTTAAAAAATTGAAATAAATTATTAGTTTATTTATATCAATTGGAAGTTAATAAATATTATTACATAAATATGAAATATTAATAATTAATAAAAATTATATTTTAATATACATTTTATATTTTTTCTCTTTTTTTAAGATTGTTTACCTCAACCAGGAAGAATTGCAATTGTAACAGGGGGCTCCAGGGGAATTGGGGTTGAAGTAGTAAAAATGCTTTTAGAACTTGACATGGAAGTAATAATTGGTAAATTTAAAAATTAATTATTCATAAATTCTATTTTTTCGGCATTTCATAAACTTTAAAATATTCTTTTAGCTTGTAGGATACCTTCTGCAGGTGAAAAAACTATTCTTCAAATTAGAGAATCTGGTGTTAAAACTGGACAAGCAAAAGTATATACACTTGATAATACATCTTTAGAATCTGTAAAACAATTTGCTACGAAAATAAAAAGAGATTATAAACAAATTCATATTTTAATTAATAATGGTAAGCTAAATAATAGTACATAAAAGCTAAATATTAGTATATAAAAAATTTTTAAAGCAAAGTTAATGTTATTTTATCATTTATAGCTGGAATCATGTTTCATCCTTATTCTGAAACAGTAGATGGTTTTGAAGAACATTGGTCTGTAAATTATCTATCACATTTTTTATTAACAGCACTATTACTACCACTATTAAAAGCTGGTGGACAGCCTAATCAAGTTAGTAGAATTGTTAATGTAACTTCCTGTGCTCATCTTTTGGGTAAAATTAATTTCCATGATGTTAATAACAAGTATGGTTAATTATTATTCTACTTTACATTGCATATTTCTTATTTTTAATTCATAGCATCATTAATGTAAATTTTATTCATTACTTAGAAACAAATTTCTTTCTAAATGCGCATACGCACAGAGCAAATTAGCACAAGAAATATTTACAAAAGGACTGCATCATCTTTTAAAAGAAAGGCAGCATCATGTTCAAGTTTATTCTGTACATCCTGGAGTAGTATTTACAGAACTTTTTATGAATTCTTTTATTTGGAAATATAGATTACTTTATAAACTTATTCTTAAGGTAAATAAACTAAAGAGAATATTAAAATTAAATTATTAATATTATAATCAAAATAATGATGTAATAAAATATATATTTTTCAGACTCCTAGACAAGGAGCTATTTCAATTGTATATGCAGCTGTAAATAAAGCAATTGAAAATCATGGTGGTATGTACATTAATAATTGTTGTCCAGGTGAAGTCCATCCAGATGCTTTGAATTCATCTATTCAAGAAAAATTATTTGAATTATCTTTACAGCAAATACAACTAAAAGACTTTTTCCAGTATGTATAATAAAAATATAAATTATAAATGTTTTCACTTACTTTGTACTTAACATAATCACATAACGGAATTATATAAAGTGAACTAAAAAATAAAAATACAATTACTATCTATGAAAATACTATATTGCAAATGCGACATTAGTATATGTTATTTGTATATATTCAAAATCTTTTAGATATATTTTTAATTTATTTATTTATGTAGAATATCATTAAGCGAATTTTTAAAACTTTTCAAAATTACAGCAAATTTAAAATCAATTTAAAATGTATATATACAAAGCATATCTTTTATAATAGTATTCATTTTGGCAACCAATTGAAATACATTTTAATTTACATTGCGTATATATTAGATATAAAATAATAATATTGTAAATTGTAATACTACGAGATGAAATAAAATTATTTATGACTTGTTACATCTTTTAAATCTAGAATTGCTTTGTCACAATCATTTGCAATGTATTAACTCTATATTTCATACTATGTTTTGAATAATATGTAGGCTTAATATCTTTTTTATAAGATATTTTCTTGCAATGTTTTATAATTATTTTTTATCTGTACACAAACTGATATGTTTTTATCAATTATTAAACTAATTTTTATTATAAATTTTTGTGCATGTTTTATGTTATTTAAAACTTATATTATCAATAAATGTTATTGTACAATGGTTATAATTAGATTTGAAGTTTTTACGATAAGGTAATTTGAAGCTTTTATGTTTACTATTACGGTGCTAAAACAGCATAATTATATAAAATTTTTATGTAATACAACATACAATGTCATCATATATTTGAAATAAATTAAATACAATATAACTTTTTCTATTAACAAAACATTACATGAAATTTAATTATTCTCCTATACATTATAATTATTAAACTATTTGAGGTACAATATAGATATCAATGTGAATACAGATAAACAATTTCAAATATACTTGTAAAAATATCCACATATATGATTCTATTTTACAAATGTTCAATTTTAAATTGTGTGAAAATAAATACATGACATGGTTGATTTTCCTAATAAAAGTTTATAAAAAATGGAAGTGATCAATTATGTAATAATATAATTATAAAAAACATGAGAGTATAATTTATAATTAACTTTTGTATTTAAAATATAAAAAGGTATAAAGACTAGAGTGATGTGCTAAAAAAATTGTATCGTTGATGTAATAAGATGATATAACAATAAATATCTTACTAAAAATTATAAAATATAACGCTGAATAATACATAGATGGAACAAGTATTAATTACCCATCATATAAGTATTACAAATCTTAAAAGATACAACAAAACTTTGGCTGTGTAAATGTTGCTAAATTAATCTGAAAATCTTATGTATCTATTATAATAAGCAATGGTCAAGTAAAAAATTATTTAATTATTTTTAATATTTATGATAAATTGTAAATATTTAGAACTTTATTATCAAATTTCACTTGACTCTTAAAGCAGTATAATAAACATTTATGTGTATACTGCAGATTTGGAAAAATTCTGGACGATATTAGGCTTACAACTTTTGTAAAAATCTTATATTCGTAATGACTTCATATTCAGTCACCAAATATGAAATACTTATTTGTACTTTCTGACACAACAAAAATATTATAAAACATATAGTAAACTTCCATTTATGGGCACAACATTAAATGTGAAAAAATAGGCGCCTTGTATTATTTAAATAATCATAAAATTATATATTACAGACTTTAATCAATATCTATGAAAACACATTTGAGAACAAATATTTATCAACATAGTTAAAGTTTACTTCAATTTTAAATATTAAATATTATTTGCAACAAAATTATTAATATAATCTGCATGATATAACACTAGATGCTAACATATAATATCAAAGATATTCTAATATTCTTTTAAATCCTTTTTGTTTAATTGTAGAAGATCGCCTAATATTGCATTCAATCCTCATACTCTATAAAAATTGTATGATAGTGTTCTATATTAGGGGTGTGCGGGTACGAAATTTCGGGTTCGGATCGAGCTCACACAAAAACGGGCGGGCTCGGGCGGGTCGTTTTCAGGTTCAAATATTGTAGTTCTTCAAATGTCCGAATATTTTTGCCACGCTACATTTCGACATAGTTCAATTTATTGTTTGATATTAAGAAAAGTATGTGCAATAACTAAATAAAATTTATATTGCTATAAACTATAATGAATGTTCTATTATATTATTAAAAATTAATCCAAATTTATTATTATAAACAGTCGAAATCCACAACAATATTTTGAATAGCATGATGTCCGAATATTAATAAGAGTCACTATATGTATTTCGCCGATGGTTGTAGTGCTAGAAATATAAACATTAATTGGTGGAAATGCAATACAGCCAGATTCCCACTATTGTCTTTAGTTGCAAAAAAATTCTTGCTCTACCTACCACTCAAACTACGAGTGAAAGACTATTTTCCTTATCCGGAAATATAACAATACCAACTCGAGCGAAATTAATATCACAAAATGTTGAGCAATTATCTTTTTTACATTATCATTTAGAGTAAATATTATTACATTTGAAGAAAAAAATATATATATATATATATATTAAGTATTATGAATAATTGATTTCGATAACGCAATGTAATCCCTATCATATCCCATTTGAACTTTTTCCAACTCGATCCGAAATAGACGAATTACCCGAAATAATCAGGCTACCCTAAATCATCGGGTTACCCGAAATCATCGAGCTACCCGCCCGAGTCCGCCCGAGTCCGCCCGACTTTGTATAAGTCCGACCCGAACAGTCGGGTACCCGCACACCCCTATTCTACATACATATTTAGCAACTGAAATTATGCATTTTTTTGGATGACTTAATAATAGATATAAAAACTACTTAAGAAAGTCGGCTGCAACCACAATTACTTGTATCACCGATTGATGTTGTTTTTCCATTTATTGAGGTTGTATTTGTTTCATATCTAGGTAATTCCTTACTACGTGCTTGCTATAATAATATATTAATTTAGTTGTAAATAAATCTTATTAATGTTGCTATAAAATAAATATTATTTGAAAAAGAAATATACTATTTTATTACCTCCATAAGTTCAGCTGCTATTTCCATAAATAATCGTTCTACATTTTCTGCTTCTTTAGCAGAAGTTTCTAAAAAGTACATTCCATGTCTTTGTGCAAAATCTTCTCCTACATGTGTTGGTATTTCTCTATCTTCCCGATCAATTTTATTACCTAAACACAATATTAAATATATTTAATTTATAATTATACCATTATAATAATACATATTACTTACCTACTAATATCCTAAGAACTTTATTACTTGCATATTCTTCAATTTCTCTTAACCAATCTGGTAAACAGTCAAATGTAGGTTGACAGGAAATATCATAAACTAAAATCAAAGCATGAGCTGACCTATAGTAGCTTTGGGTTATTGAACGAAATCTTTCTTGGCCAGCAGTATCCCAGATTTGAAGCTGAAAGAGAAGCAACATTAATTATTAGCAACATTAAAGTTATTCTAAAAGAATATATTTATATATATTGGATGAATCATAATTCATTACATCACATGCATACCTTAACTTTCTCATTTTCTACTTCCACAGTCTTTATCATGAAATCAACACCTATTGTTGCACCCTGACCTGGAGGAAATAATCCCTATAAGACAAACATTACGTATTAATAAACAAGATCACTTATCTGTAAAATACTATTTTTTAAATGGACAATTTATATAAGGTATCATATGCCATAAAAACAGATGGAACAGCTTACATAGAAAGTATGTAATTAAATTATTTATAAAAAAAAAATTTTTTTTCATATCTTTTTATTAACAGATATAGTTTAACTGATAATATAAATATGTATGCACACATACCTGGGTAAATCTTCGCACAAGACAAGTCTTGCCGACACCCGCATTTCCTACGAGCACAACTTTAAAGAGAAATTTATAATCCTCCATTACATCCGTACCGTATTACGGTCAAGAACCCTATGTAAAACTAACAATGCATTTGCAAACACGACACGTACAGTTTTCGCAACCGTTCACTTTAACGGCGGGCCGAAATTTTATAATACACTTCTTTTTAATAAGATTTACTTCCTTTTATCAGCACTGGAAGAAACTGTTCACGACACATTCTCTGTACTCTGTTTTTACGATTTACCAAATACACGATGTTCCATTTTTATAAAATAAATACAGAAATAAGTACTTAACAAAAATTGTAACTGACTTTCTAGATTTACTGCCATTCTGTCACAATGACGTTTTCTCCCGACCTCGCCATTAAATTATGACATTATCATGATTTAAAAGCGATAAAATTTCTGAATTGTGTACGTGTGTGTATGTATATATATATATATATACACTTCATAAATTTAAAAATTTACTATTATTTCTAATTTCATTTTTTATATTTTTATTTTGTTTTTTAAGCGCTACGATTTCATGAACAATTTACAATTTAAATAAATATTCTATGTATTTAATATACCTATTAACAATCTCATGATTAATAATTTTATTAAATAATATTTATGAATTTAGAAACAGAAGCTAGTTTAATTATTTATTGCAATTTTGTAATTAATTTCCAGAAATATTCAAAACATTTATTACAATTTATCAAAACAAATTTCAGCAAGTTTTCTAATTTTATATCATTTTGTCGTTTTCTTCATATAAATTACGCATAAAAATCGTTTCAATGAAAACGCAGCCATATCCTTCCATTTTGCTCACTAGCGACACATGTGAATAATTGTGAACTTCTAGTGTACTAACTTGAATTTTATAACGAAATATGTGATTGGCCTTTCGTCGAAATTCAACCGACAGAGTAAGAATTTCAACCAATTACGATCAGCGTGACATGTTTGTAATCCCGTTAGAAGGTACAAAGGAATGGTAGCCATTTTACGTGGGTATCCCATTTGGTGTAGCAGTAGTGCCCGCGTGATTATCGCGAAAAGTCAAAATAATTGTACTTCGGAATATTTCTATTTTTTTCGAAATGCATTAAAAAGGTAAATGTTAACTGGTGTCGTTTATAGTGTTCTCAATAAAACCCACCGTAGAACGTGAAGTTATAATACTAAATGTCGTTCAAGTTTGCTTGATTCAGGCATTAAAGAAATCCAGATGCGTGATAGTTATTCGTGTACACTTAGGTATTTGTGCTGATCTTCTAAAATGTGCATGTACATTGAAATAATAGTGTAATGAAAGCTTTTTGGAAGCGCATGATTGTTAAATCGAAAGAAAAAAAAATCGATATGTGTACGACGTCTATCAATCTCTTGTAAAAAGATATCAAACAATATTACATAAATAGAAATAGCAACATACTAATTCTCGTTCAAGCTTTAAGATCATTAATTGCATTAATATATTTCGTACGAGTAAAACTTTGAGACATCGTATACGTGTCAAACATTTCTGTTCTATATATTTCAATTCAGTAAAAGTGGAGTAGTCTAACTATAAGAAAATCAAGAAATATTAAATATTCTGTTGGGAATTATATTCTTATTCGTGTAACAAATAATTTTTGTTATATATTAAAGTTTTTTTTTTTTAATTTTATAATCTCGGACAAATATGTAACAAACGATTATTCTTTAACACTTTATTAAATCACAATGTTAACAATTTATTATTACTTTAAACTTTATTATTTTAAACTATTGTAACTTTTTTGTTATTTATTTCTAAAGTTATAGAATAATGTAAATTTTTTAATTGAAATTTTGTATTCTAATTGGTAATTTTTGTATTCAACTATTTTCACAAATAAATTTTGTATTCAACTCTTTTCAATACCTTTCCATATTAAGAATACCTTAAAGTAGTCATTAAAGTTGCATCATAAAGTATTAATAAGTTTTTGTCACTCAGTATGTTACTTTAATAAAAAGTCAATAAGTAAAGTATGCGTTTATTTATTGTCTTCCTATGTTAAAAAGATACCAATTTTTAATACTAGTTTCTTGTGTTACAGTATAATAAATATTGTCAATTTGACGAAGATTTGTTGCAATTATCAACTGGCAACACAACATCATGACATCCACAAAATCTAAGGAAATAGCGGATGAGTACATCTCGTCATTATCTGATTTGACGATCAATAGTAAACCATTGATTAATATGCTTACTATGTTGGCTGAAGACAACATAGAACATGCACCAGCAATTGTACAAGCTGTAGAAAATCACCTACAAAAGGTTATTTATCCACTGTAGTTGGTTCAAAATTATATAAGCTTTTTTGTACATTATAAAATATATTATTATGTTTACATTGTTACATACTTATTTAACACTAAAATAACCAAACCCGTCAATATGACTGATTTCAGATTTACTTTTTTTTATAATTACTTATAAAAAAATTTAGATATTTTTGTCAAAATTAATATTTTTGTTTAGACAGAAACACAATTGTATGAATTATTTATTTTAACTCATGTATGAGTTGTATGAATTATCATTGTATGAATTATCATTTAAATCATGATGATTTATATGTAGAATATGTAGAATATTTTGATATGTAATAAAGGTTGTTCTAGTGTTAATCTTATTCTTTTATAATTTATAAGAACTAGGAGTCTTGGAAATTGACGATTTTTTTTTTTTGAATACTTATAAAATAAATATAATTGGTAAAATTAACGAAGCTGTATTTCATACCTTTGCTTATTTAAGATATAGTAAAAATAAAGTTGAATGAAGTATAATAAACTATATGATGCAATGTAATTATTTCTACACTTAAGTTTTTCAATTATTTTGTGTCACTTTTGCATCTATATTATGGTATGAAATAATGGCTTCAATTTATTGGTATAACTTGTAAATATATATTATATTGTGTTTTAACAGGTGAGGAGTGATATTAAATTACCTGTTCTTTATTTGATTGATTCGATTGTGAAAAATGTTAATGGAGCATATTTAAATCTGTTCACACAAAATATTGTAAATACTTTTTGTGGAGTATTTGAAAAGGTATGTTTGCTAATTATTATTTAAAAAATACATATTATCTATATAGATATATAGATATACATATATTAATCATTTCTATTTCTTTATAAAATACGTTTATTCTTATTTTATTTTAATGTAATTTTTCCATTATTCCAATTGTGAGACTTTATATTTTGTAAAGCTATAAGATAATCATTTAATCAATATCAGGTCATTGTATTTTATGTCTCTACACTGTCTCTATATACTATAATTTATAAAACTTCTTAAATCGGGATTACCCACGTGAGGATCTAGTGCTGGGATGTACTGTATCTGCACTAGACTCCCAGGTAGGTAATCCCAGGTTAAAAATAGAAGAAACATAAACATAAAACTCAATAGTATTTGTATAAATGAACAGGTGGATGAGAATACAAGAGCTAGCATGTGGAAATTAAGGCAAACATGGAATGATGTATTTCCAGCAAAAAAATTATTTTCTTTGGATGTACGAGTGCAAAGTATTGATCCTGCCTGGCCAATCACTGCCTCTCCTACTAGTGTTTCTTCGGGATCTATTCATGTTAATCCTCGTTTTTTTTCAATGGTTAGTGTAATAAAGCTATATTAAATATAATCATATATTTTTATACTTAAAATATTTATGTATACAATGTTTTATTTCTAGCCCCAACAATCAGCAACATCTATTGTCTCACAACCAATAGCACCTGTTAAGCTTCCACCAGGTGATCCTGTGACACCAACGGAAGCAGCAATGCGAGAGCAATTATTGAAGAAACAACGAGAACTGATAGAATTACAGAAAAAAAAGATTGAATTAGAATTACTTCAAGCTAAAGCTAATTTAGAACAACAACAGCGGCAACTCGATAAACAAGCTGGAAATTTGAAAAGTGAACTGGTGAGTCACAAAATAATGTCTCTTTTTAACTGCATTTTCAAATTATAACTTTAAATTGTAACTTTATTTATTTTTATTTAAATAGGTTGCAGCTACAGCACATATTACATCAAGCACAGACACTGTCACACAAGGAAAACCTGTTACAAGTGTTGCGCTAAGTCAAGCACCAAAACAAGTAGCAAAACAGGTAATTTAAATTATACATTTTCATTGTATCACAAAATCAAATCAAGTAAAACTATTTTGTTATGTATTATTTAACATTATTTTTTTAACATTCTTGTTTTTGTTTTAAGTTTCCAGCAGCAACTGCTTCGCTTCTGAAAAATGCAGGAACGAACAATGGTCCACGAATTGCACCAGCTAGTAGTATAGCAGTAGCATCAGCTAAACCGGTATCTCGTGACCCAAGATTAAAAACTACCTCGGCTCAAGATGTACCAGTTTCAAGCGTGGATCCTCGACAGCGAATAAGTACACCAACTCAGAAGGATTCGCGGGGCGAAGGCCAAGCGCAGCTAGCGGCAAATACAAATACTGTACTTTCAGATCAATTAAAACAGCAGTTAATTTTGAAACAGGCTGTGACTAGCACTATCAACAAGTCTCCGACAAATCTTGCCGGCTCCGATACTGCGACATTAAACGCTAGTAATAACAATAATGCTAATACGAACTTCAACAATAATAATAACAATAAAAATTTCAGTGGTAACGCAAATAAAGATGCTGTGTCGCATCGAACAAGTCAAAAGAAAGACCCTCGATTGTCTAGTAATAGTAGTGGTAACCTAAACAGTAATAGCTCCAAAGGTTCTCAAAGTCTGTCTGTGGGTAATAATAGTTCTTTATCCGCGAGTAATAGAGGAAGTGGGAGTAACGATTCCAAGTCGAAAGATTCGAAGAATTCGAACTCTCGAACTTCTTCATCTTCGGTAATCGACAAATCTTCCTCTTCTTCGAAATCCTCGCATAGAAAAATAGGAAATAAATCGCGATCTAAACAACCTCAAACATCTCCGAGTAAAATACCGAAAGTTGACAGAGATGCCAGTCCTATTAGGTCCAAATCTCGTGAAAAAGATAGTGGAGATAGTTCATCACCATCCTCGCGAACCTCTCCGCAATCCTTTCAAAACTCCAAAAATCGAAAAAAAAATACGAAATCTAGAAAACGCAGTCCAAGCCCTCCATACAGAATTCCTAGGCGTAATGATGCAAAATCCAACTCAAGTCTAAGCAATTCTAGTGGTGTCACTGAGGAGGAGCAATCTGGTTCATTGATAGTCTCTCCTCCTCATCCACCTACATTTAAAGAAATCAGAGCGAACGCTAGACAAAGAAATTACGTAAGGCGTAACAAGGATGGCAGTCTTAGTCCCGAGCGCTCTCCAGCAAATGCTGGAAAC